ATCGTTGAATGGAAAGCAAAAAATCGTCAGCTAAAACAGCTTCTTGCTAACTTTCTGCTTTGTTTTGAATGTAAATGCAATGAGCTTTGTTTCTGCCCACGATTTTTTGGTCAGCGACGACAAATTTCCCACCTGTTCGCGATGCGATAAAAGGACGTCCTGTTGCTGTATATACTACATCATGTAAACAATATCTTATAAATGTATAAATCTATACCTTGACTACTTCAGGACATGCGTAATGTGGCGACCTACAAACAGAACATTCAGCGTAAAATGACACTCGTGCTTGAAAACGCGTCGTATAGTAAAAGTGTGCTTAAAGTGCAGTTGGTCAACACGGTCTTAACACCTGAGACGCAAGAGAATGTACAGTCATTTTACACAGTTATTTAACCGAAGTCTGTATTTGTTAACCGCAAAAAGGCTGTAGCTAATTATTCAAAACAGTCTATTACACCGTAATTTGCAATCACCGTGCACTCACTGTAAAAGATTATAGTACATTACTGCAAAAAATAACAGTACATTATTCGGTAAAAGCCCAGTTTTAACAGTGTAGCTAAATGCAAGGTTGCTGACTATACGTAAGGTTGTTGGAGAGGTGGAAAAACTATCAGGATACCTGGGAACCTATAGTTTCCAGAAATTTTTTTGGGATCAACATTTCTGCAGAAATTTTCCCACACATGAAATAACAATCATTGCATGCATTCAGAAAGGACTACTTAGATTTTGATATATACAGCAACAGTACACTTAAATTTACATGCAATATTGAGCGAGACACAGTTAAAATAAAAACATTTAATATTATTTAACAAGTATAACTATACATCGGTAATTATAAGGTTGCATGTTTTATGCCAATTTTGGCATTTTCAAAAACAATATTCAACGTTCAAACATCAATAACTCAGTCAATATTGCATGTAAATTCAAGTGCTATTATATCAAAAACTAAGTTAGTCCTTCCTAAATGCAATGATCTTTATTTCATTGCTATAGCTTTTATAGCTTTTATAGCTTTTACGTTACATAAAATCAAACAGTGTCCTGTTGGGTTTTCCCGACACCCATGCAGTATTTGTTACATAAATTACAGCGGAACACTTTCATCGAAAATATCCATATAGCCTAACAGTAGGAAATCTGTTTTTAGTCCTGTCAGACTGTAACTACCATGACTACTTTAGGATTTATCTTGTATGCCTTGTCAGTCTTGCTCCACACAACAACACATCTTAATGAACATAATCCATGTAAGGTCACAAATGACAATTTTGGTATTTTTTTCCCTATATATTGCAATCTTTTGTAGAAAATTTTGAGTCATAAAACCCAGAAAGGAAAAAAACGTTTTCCACCTCTACAACCAAGTCAAGGCGAGTATACGCTCATATTTGGGGCATTTAAAACTACCTACCAACCGTTCTATAAAATCCTCATGGTCAAAATTAACAATACACAAAATCAGACAACCCTTTCGTTCTTAACCATTTTACAACTCACTCGCAAGCCATGTTACATAATTATTATAAATAGTGCCATCCAGTTAATGATCGCGGGTGTCTGATTGTCTTTGCCATCGTTTTGTTTTGTGAAATCTCGTTAACCTGATGACAGTTCCCACCTGCCTCACTTCAAAATGACGTCAGATACCGAAACTGATGGAATCGAGGGGAAATTAGAATAAAAAATCGCTGCTGCATTTTTCTTGCACAAATCTTCGCATTGAGTAGAGAGATGTTGAAATTTAACTTACCCACAACTGGTCTCTAACATGGAATTTTCGCCAACCTAAAGTAAAGGAACACACATATTATACAGGGTGTCCAAAAAAAGTAGCACTATAAAAATTATCCTACTGTTGTTAAGCACAGAATTTCATGCGTCTGGTAATTAAAAATTCCATTCAACTGTGTTTACGCCGATACCGATACACCGACATGGATATAGCTGCATCGCTAATTCAAATTATAACAATAGGATCATTTCTATAGTGTCACTTTTTTGGGGAACACCCTGTATACAGTAGTACACAAATATCGTGAATGCTCAATTTCAGTTTCATTATTAAGAGAATCTTTTGAATGTATACTTTTCCACTTGGTTAAGACTATATTCATTTTTTAAATTTTTAGTACGTTTCTCAATCGGCAAACAAACTTAAAAAACTATGTTTAGCAAGCCTGAAAATTAGCAGCCGAACATGGACACTGTCAGACACGAAAAGTGCAAATGACCAGCAAATGCTTTTCTCAACGGACAGTACTGTATGTCTGTACAGTGATACTGCTATAATTATATTGATGAAAAGTGAAAGATACGTTAGATACTGTGAATATATACTGTATGTATTAAAAAGTGAGTAATAGCTAGCTATATACTGTACAGTGCACACTGTACTATAAATTAGTTTTTCGAAGAGCCAGTCATGAAAATTTCTATAACAATCTTACCTGTAATGAGGCCATTCCAAAATCGGCGACTTTTATGTTATGTTTTTCATCGAGTAAAAGATTTTCAGGCTTCAGGTCACGATGACTATACAAGAAATAAAATACATATTTACATGCATATACTCAATTCAGAATTGCGGATTTGAAACCATAGACGGTCGGTATATAGCACCTTTGATGGTCAACTGCATCATGGAAACATTCGGAAATCATCGTAGGCATGGCGACTGCACCTTCCAAGTTCTGTTGTTATGGTTTACAATCGATTAAGGGCAGGGTGCACCTGGGGCCGGTTGTATAAAACTCTTAATCACTTTTTTAATCACTATTTTGTAGTTAAATAGTGATTAACTCTCAAATAGGCGCTTCTTATTGGATGACGTTTCCACTTAACCATAGTTATAACCGGCCCCGGATTTGGAATTATCAAATCAGGTCGCAACCGGATTTGCCGGATTTGGACAAACATTCCGGCCGGATTTGGAATAAATTAGGATAACTGGGGATAAATTGAGATAATTTAGTTTTTCAAAATGGCGGGCTTATGTTTTCAAAACCAAATGGGAAAAAAAAACAATTTGAATATGGAAAAAACATTTTGAATATGGAAAAAAACATTCCGAATACGGAAATAACAGCTTGAAATATGTAAAGGCAAGGAAGTTTTTTTTTGTAATTATGTAATGTCAGTTTTGAATTTTGATCGTAACTCGTGAGACAACTAATCAAGATGTTTTTAGGCAAGCTGATGAAAACGTAAATCCGGAAAATCCGGCCGGATTGAGAAAAAAATCCGGCCGGATACCGGGATTTGGAAAATTCCTCAAATCCGGACGGAATTCCGACAGGAATTGAAATCCGGTGCAGCCCTGATAAGGGCACAATATGACTGACAATATGACTGACAATACGACTGACAATACGACTGACAATATGACTGACAATATGACTGACAATATGACTGACAATATGACTGACAATACGACTGACAATATGACTGCCAATATGACTGCCAAAATATGACTGACAATACGACTGACAATACGACTGACAATACGACTGACAATATGACTGACAATATGACTGACAATATGACTGAAAATATGACTGGCAATATGACTGACAATATGACTGACAATATGACTGACAATACGACTGACAATACGACTGACAATACGACTGACAATACGACTGACAATACGACTAAGGGGCCATTCACAAAGGATGTCCGAGCCGAGGGGGGGAGGGGGGTTTGGAAAATCAGGACAAACTCGGACATAGGGGGGAGGGGGGTTTAGCAATCCGGATGTCCGAAATTTAAAAAAATTCAAAAACAAATTTCTTTTTCCCTCTATTTTGAGCAGTCCTTCCCATTGTGAAATTGGCATTTTGACTATGCAGTTAACACTAGATTTTGTTTTAATTAGTAATTTATATGTTTTTGTGTTCACATTTACAGTTATAAAAAAAGTTCTAAAAGTAAAAAAGTTTTTTACTCTTGATATATACAAGGTTGCGTGAGTTTTTGCGAGGCATGGCGGATGTCGGGGGGGTCACTAATTCGGACAATGTCGGACAAGGGGGGGAGGGGGGGTCTGAAAATCCATCATTTGGCCGGACATCCTTTGTGAATGGCCCCTTAGTTTATTTTGAAAAATTGCTTTTCACATTGGTTAACGAGAATTAGATGTAAGATGGAGTAAGAATTAGATGGAGTATTAAGTGCACATGTGAATCAGGCATAGATTAAACACATCTGATTGTGAATGGCTCGGAAAAAATACACAATTTTGTATGGTCAGCTGGCTTCGGCAGTTTGGTCAATTTTGGACGGGCATTTGATTTGGTCAGGGTATGACGTCACAGGCGAAATGAAAGCAGCCCCTTGGCTGTTTCGTCATATCAACCAGAAAATCAAATTTACAAGATTTTTCTTAAAATTTAAAGTGAGAAACCATTTGAGAAGGCAAACAGAAGCTATTGTAATACATTTTTGTAGGTTTTGTATATTTTACGTATAAATTTTATCGTTTTTTTCGACGATTTTCGAACATTAGCATCGCTTCGGAAGCTTGTCGGAAATCCCCGTGAGTTGTAGGACCCAGTCTCCCAGTCTAGAACTCCGTCATCTTCTAAAATATACAGTATAAACAAATAACTTCAAAAGTTTAATTTTTAAAACTTGTTTTGTTCTTAAGCTGTTGTGGAGTTGGATACTAGCAGAATATTTTTACAGAATGGCTGCAGAACAAGGAGGTTGGTATATGAACCGAAACATTAAAAAATTATACAATTAGATAAAATATATAGTTATATTTATATACAGACTACTAAAATTCTGTATTCAGTAGATTGCCTTATATTTATCTTTATACGATAACCGAGATTTACTGAATAATAACAGACAACCGTCTAAAAATACAAAATGTAATTTCACTCATGAGAGGTTTAACATTTGAAATTACTCTTTTGAGTTTGATTAAATTTGATCAGACTTTAACGTTTGCCACATAATTGCTAGATGTGTGTTGTGATCAGACCTGACTGGAAAGTTTGAAAATTGAATGGCCGAGATTTCGAAAGTTTAATTGTAAATATATAGAAAGCATCAAAATTGCATGCCCGATATTTCGGCCGTGCAATACAAACGTTCCACACTGGTTGTGAGAGGCTGAGATCGAGGTATCTAGTGTAGGTAAAGTGCTCTACAAATTATAGAGAGGTTAATTAAGCAAGTGACATTTTTGATTCACGGATGGTGACCGGAAGTAAATCAAGCCATTATAGACGGTGACCACCGTTCTTGTTTGAAATCACAAACACAAGACTTCATTGACTGCTGTTCTTGATTTTAAGCATGAACTGCTGACGTCATAATTATGTACTTGTGAATGTACCTATTTTTATCATTCTAGGAAATGTTGATGAAGCAATTATACGTCAAGTGGAGGAAATACAAAAAGAGGTTGTTATAACTCAACATTTCAACAACATTTATTCAAATTCAATTACATTTTACAAAAACACCCATTTGCACTTTGCGAAGCTATTCTAGGCAGAGGGTTGCTGTCTTGCTAACTTGCTCTCACTATCATACAGGATACATTTCTTCTCTGGGTACCTGACACTTTGTCAGGACGTTAGCAGCGGGTATCGAAATAGTTACAGGCCTCTGAATTAGAAAAAATCAGGTTCCGCAAAAATTTGGCAACCTAAAACCATAGTTATGCTAAAACTAAAACAGGTTGGCAATTTCAAATTTTCAACAAAATATGCCGGTATAGTGATAATGCCATTTGCCTTCGCAAAACAGTAATTGTAATTAACCCATTGAGTGGCAGCACTTTCCACTTGGCAAGTAAAATTGTCTGGCGTTAGACAGAGTAAAATACTAAAGTTGTGTGCATCAGGGTGCATTGCCAGCCACTTAAAGGGTGAAGTATATACAGGCCTAGAAAATATATTTATCTTCCTGGCAGCAAAATTCAAAAATTAAAATTTCCTGTGTAAGTCAACTATAAAACGTCGTTCCTATGTAGATTTCAGAGAACGTGTGGACTATGATGGCGCACACCTCGACTTGCAAAATGCTTAATTTGGAATTTTTAAACAATAAGTAAATTATATGGCGTCCTGTATATAAGATGACAAAAATTTCCTGCAAGGTGCAAGAAAATTTCCTGCGAAGATATTTTGTTAAACATTTCCTGGCAGCGGTGCTGCTGGCGCTGCCGGACATTTTCCAGCACTGAATATATATATAGTTGAAGTACTGTACATAAAATCAACTTTAAATAAACTATACAGTAACAATGTTACCAAACGCATAACTGAACTCAAACATTGTTTTGTGGTCAATAACAGTTATTAGCTAGTTATAATCTAGTTAGTTATAGTTATAGTTATATATTATTTTATAATATAGCATTTGTAAATTCTGAACGCTGATTGGCTAAGAGCCGTGTTGATATAACTCCATGTCAACACGGGAAATTTTCCGCCGCTTGTAAACACGGAAATTTTTCTTATTCTTCGGGCTTTTGACATTGTTATATTATAAAACAAATATAAAACATTTTTTCCGTATTGATATATAGTTATATCAACACTCGTGGAAGTTGGGAAAACTCGAAATTGTGTGAAAACACTCCGCCCTTCGGGCGTCGTGTTTCCACACAATTTCTCGTTTTCCCAATTTCCACTCGTGTTGATATAACTGTATATCAACACGGACAATGTTTTATATTTGTTAAATAGTTAACAGTTATAATCTAGACTACAGTATATATAGAGAATATTACACGGCAGCACGAAGATATGACTTTTATCTTCGAGTGGTGAAAACAATATTTTACGAACGAGTGCAGCGAGTGAGTAAAATATTGTTTTTAACACGAGAAGATAAGATTGTATCTTCAAGCCACCGTGTAATGTCCTGTCGGAAAATTACGGGTCGATACTGTACGTCCCCAATCAGGTTGGTAATTGCCAATTGCCACCTGAATCCAGAGGCCTCAGGAATTACACAAGCTTTTATAGACCACTCAAGATTATTTGCTAATTTATAGATTGCAGATTCACAACACCTTGTTGGGGCATTGCAGGATATTTTGTCATTGGGAAATGTATATCAGCATGACGACACTGTTTTTCAAAATAAAATCAAGGCAAGTAAGAATATATGCATTATGTGTGTATGTGCGATGGTGTGTGTGTCGACATTCTGACACTATATTGGATGACGATGTATCGACGAAGTTTTACTATTTTTTACAGGATTTATCCAAGAAATACTCTCATATAAGAACAACGAGAGCTGACGGCAATTGCTTCTTCCGCGCTTTTGGATTTAGTTATTTAGAATATTTGTTGCAAGACAGGGTTGAGTATGAAAGGTAATATTATGTCATTACAGTTAGTATTACTCAGCTCACTGCCATTCTGGCTTTTCGGTAACCGAATACATCAAGTTGTACACTTACCTGTATGTTTACCTACTTAGCCTAGACTATTTATCTTTACAACAATTGTCATATTACTTTCCTAACTATGTTTATCCTAACCGGGTCACCCTGTCAACTTTACATGTGGGAGATGTTAAATATTAAGGAATTTTCTGAAAAATTGAGGTTGAAAAAGGGCTGAAATTTTTGAGCCCCCATTATTACAAATTGGAAAATTTTTTGAGATGTTTGGTGGTCAGAAAAAAACAACAACCCCCCCTTTTCCGGAAAAAAGTTTTTCAGCGGGTCCCCGAAAGGAAGGGAGCCCAAATTTTTTAATTAACCCCCACCCCCCCAACCTGCAAGCGAGCAAGTGTTAAGTTACACCTCTGAAGTTGTGACAATGCTGTTCTAACAACTTGCCAACAAGATATCTCCCGATCGGGTTTGTAGCAAGCTTGTTAACAAGTTGTGACAATGCTGTTCCAACAACTTGTCAACACGATATCTCCTCATCGGGTTTGTAGCAAGCTTGTTAACAAGTTGTGACATTAGCAAGCTTGTAGCAAGCTTGTTAACAAGTTGTGACAATGCTGCTCCAACAAATTGTCAACAACATTTTTCCTCAACAGGCTTGTGGCAAGCTTGTTAACAAGTTGTGACAATGCTGTTCCAACAACTTGTCAACAAGATATCTGCTCATCGGGTTTGTAGCAAGCTTCTTAACAAGTTGTGACAATGCTGTTCCAACAACTTGTCAACACGATATCTTCTCAACGGGTTTGTAGCAAACTTGTTAACAAGTTGTGACAATGCTGTTCCAACAACTTGTCAACACGATATCTTCTCAACGGGTTTGTAGCAAGCTTGTTAACAAGTTGTGACAATGCTGTTCCAACAACTTGTCAACAAGATTTTTCCTCAACAGGCTTGTAGCAAGCTTGTTAACAAGTTGTGACAATGCTGTTCCAACAACTTGTCAACAAGATATCTGCTCATCGGGTTTGTAGCAAGCTTGTTAACAAGTTGTGACAATGCTGTTCCAACAACTTGTCAACACGATATCTTCTCAACGGGTTTGTAGCAAACTTGTTAACAAGTTGTGACAATGCTGTTCTAACACCTTGTCAACAAGATATCTGCTCAACAGGCTTGTAGCAAGCTTGTTAACAAGTTGTGACAATGCTGTTCCAACAACTTGTCAACAAGATATCTCCTCAACAGGCTTGTAGCAAGCTTGTTAAGAAGTTCTGACAATGCTGCTCCAACAACTTGTCAACAAGATTTTTCCTCAACAGGCTTGTAGCAAGCTTGTTAACAAGTTGTGACAATGCTGTTCCAACAACTTGTCAACACGATATCTTCTCAACGGGTTTGTAGCAAGCTTGTTAACAAGTTGTGACAATGCTGTTCCAACAACTTGTCAACACGATATCTTCTCAACGGGTTTGTAGCAAGCTTGTTAACAAGTTGTGACAATGCTGTTCCAACAACTTGCCAACACGATATCTTCTCAACGGGTTTGTAGCAAGCTTGTTAACAAGTTGTGACAATGTTGTTCCAACAACTTGTCAACAAGATTTTTCCTTAGCAGGCTTGTAGCAAGCTTGTTAACAAGTTGAGACAATGCTGTTCCAACAAATTGTCAACAAGATTTTTCCTCAACAGGCTTGCAGCAAGCTTGTTAACAAGTTGTGACAATGTTGTTCCAACAACTTGTCAACAAGATTTTTCCTCGACAGGCTTGTAGCAAGCTTGTTAACAAGTTGAGACAATGCTGTTCCAACAAATTGTCAACAAGATTTTTCCTCAACAGGCTTGCAGCAAGCTTCCAACAATTCCAACAACTTGTCAACAAGATTTTTCCTC